ATTAGTAATGTCGAAAATTGGTATTGAGCAGAGCATAATAGAACAAAATCAAACATTTGTATTTGTAATCCTTTATATATATCACAAAGCGCAGTGATTATTTTTCCGCACGACCTACGTAAATACTTAAATGCGGACTTTTAATCGGAATTGCTGATTTGTATATGGAAATCCCATTTGATTAATGCAACCAACGTATAATTTCAGATTGGTTGGTAACGGTCCGCATATCTTTTGCAAACAGTTGCAGCTATTATTCTCGCACATCAAACACCCAGGTCGCATATGTGTATATATAATTTGAATAAATAAAATTTTATTGTTTAAATTTTATTATTCACTAATCTCGCACATGTCCTACTAATAGTCTATATAAAAACAATTTGCAATTTTGCTAAATGTCCTGTATCCAGTGGACCCGTAGCATCAGCCGCTGCCTGCTTGACGCACTCTTGCATCTCGTGCTCTAGCTCGGGATGTATGGCAAAACGCAAAATCGAAGGAATCCTCGCCATCAACCACGCAGTTTTGGCCAATGCCCTGTTTCGGCGACGACCGGAAATTAGCGACTTGGACATCCTCACCAACAAAAACTCCAAGCTGGTACTAATCACCCTGTGTTTGCTAAACATTTTGTCTCCCCCATGTGGGTATTTTTTATGTCTTGTCTTGCGGCTCAAGTACTCATGCGCCTTGGTTGGCACTTCTGCAACAGTTACCCAGAGGTGTGTGAGAAGAGGCAAGCTGATAAGAAGCTCCTCCAGCTCATCCAGGCGCAGGCCAATGTCCAAGGTGAGGTATCTCAGTGAAGTGAGCGTTGATCCTGAGGGTACTCCGATTTCCATATCGAAATCGGTTGTTGGCGTGGTAACTGTGAGTGAAGCAAGGCGTGGAAGCTTCAGCGACATTGTATTACAAACCCAGTGCTCGGCCGAATGCTTGTCTACTTCGCCTGTCAAGCCTTTTTTAGCAATGTCAATGCGGCAGAATACAAGCCCTGTGAAGGGCTCAAGCGACAGCTGGTCGCATGTCCCCGGGCACTTGTCGATAGAAAGCTGGCGGAGCTGTGCACGCGGAAAGTTTTCCAAAAAGCGTGCAACATTGTGTGGGTAGGTACTTACATCCAATGAATGGAGCTTGGGAAAAAGCGGGTAAATATTGCCTACAACCGATTCAATGATGCCAGACTCTGTGTGTTGATGCCTTAGCCGGCCTTGCTTGTGTCTAGGACTCTGGCCAAATTCAAGTCGCAAATGATAAAGGCTCTCGAATACATCCTCGGAGCCGCTAAAAAATGATGACCAGATAGAGTCGGCGGCAATAGGGCCAATGTCCAGCCATTTGAGCGACTTGGCCATGGTCAATGGCACTTGTAGAACAGTGCGGCTTTGAGGTGCGCGTATGGTAAGATGTGTCAGGTCCATCGGCAGTTCCTGTATTTTTGGAACAAAGAGAAGCATCTGAGTTGATATGGCCAGTGCCTCGAGTTTCTGAAGTTGGTGTTGTCTGACAGAAACCAGATCCTCAAGTACAAACAGCCCAAAGCTATCGTGCATCGCTGACAACGCACAAATGTTCCGTAGTATGGGCATGCTCCGAGTCAACACATGGCTGATTTGGATTATAGCTTGATCATGCTCCAGCTCGCTCCATTTATTGGGGCTCTTGGGCAAATGTGGGTCGTAGTAATACAAGGTGTGGATAGATGGCCATTCAAAGCCCACAAACTGGCTGTACTCAAGTGCTCTGAATATGCTCGTGGCATTCGAAGGTGCGCGCATGCATACCAGGAGACGAAAGGTTTTGGGCGCGTAGCCGCTCTCTAGAATCAGCTGAATATTTGTACGCACACAGTGAATAAACGAGTCTGAGCTGTTTTTGTGATGTTCCATTATTTGAGGGTCATCATTGTCATCATCATTGATGATGATGGCTGCGGTGCCGTAAAAAAACCGGGCTGCACGTTTGCGCCAAGCATGGCTGACTTGTAGGCTGGCAACGATAGAGAGATGGCCTGTGGGCAAGGAGCTAAGCGTGTTGTGGCCAGGAGCGCCCTGCCAGAAGAGGTACTCGAATATGCGTGTGAGCGCATTTGCAGGCAGAGTGCTCTGTACTTGCAGCATTATCAAATGGTTAAAAAATATATATGGCTCAAGAATAGAGACGATTTAATTCAAAAAATTAATGAATATTGCTGAATAAAGCAACAGGGATGAGTCGAGCTTTAAAATTCGAAACTTTTGATTCCCCAGGCCACCTTTGATTTTTAAATGGCTCTGACATCATCATCTATCACTCGAATCCAATTTTTCTCCAGTCATTTTTTTAAATCCATGCCCAAGGATTGGAAATGCAAAATTGCGTTTTTCAGGCTTGAAGATCCAGACTGCATTTTTCTGTTCTGTCACTTCAAATTGTACTTTTTTTATTAATTGCTATTGCAATCACCCTATTTTTTACTTTTCATATATTAAAAATGAAACTATACACAGCATTTGTCTGGGTGGGAATGCTGTCGTCGGTGCAGCCTTGTCTCGCACTCTCGGGCAGCAAATTCCGGTTCAAGCTCAATCAGCTTTACGAGGTTGGAATTGGGCTAGATGGTCTGCGCGGTACGCCCGCAGCCTTTGGAGATTTCAATTCCAACCAACACAGCGACCTGTTTGTAATATCTCCAGACCAAAGAACCATTCAGCTTTGGGTGTGGGAAAACGACCTCAAGCAATTTGCGCACCTCGACTCGGCTGACATTACGGTGCCTGGGGTCATTTTGAGCAATGTGATAGTGGGTGACTTTAACATGGACGGCAAATTGGATGTTATTGTGCAGGGACAGAGCAAGGGGAGTGACGAGGTTGTTATGCGGTGCTATTTGGGCGATGGGGTGAACGGGTTTAGTGATGGCGGACAGCTGCCATCGGCAAATGGTGCGCTTCCTTTTGCGTTTGACTGGAGCGGCAGCGGAAGGGTGGATCTGCTGGGCGCGGCATGGGATCACAAGGACGATTCGGATTCGGGTGTACGGGTGTGGTTGCATGTAGACGCCGATCCCTCATCCAAGCCGCCGGCGGCAAAGACGACGGCAAGCAGCAATGTAGTCAGCACCAGAGATAGCACCCTGGTGAAACGCGATGATGCAGAGCTGTTTGAGCTGCGCAAGTTTGGCGTGGGAAACTTGACCGTGGCCATGTGCAGACCTGCCAGCCCACACTCAAGCGCCTTTGTGGATCTAAACGGTGATTGCCTCCCGGACCTATTCCTCGTGTGTCACGGAAACGAAGAGTACCAAATCTGGACAAACTCCAAGACGGGCTTCGAGTACTCGCAGACTGGAAAACTGCCGTCAAACGCTGGGCCTGTCTCCTTTGCCGACATGAACTCTGATGGCAGCATGGACATGGTCATCCCAATAGTGGGCAAGTCGCAGATATACATTGTTTACAATGAGCGGCGGCCGTTGTGCGTCGGGTCGCGCAAGCAGGAGGGCTGCCGCAAGTTTAGCCGCATCTGCGAAGCCGACGATGCATTTTCCTTTTCACTGAAGGACGCGCAGGTCGTTGATATTGAAAAGATGTGGCCGGGGGAGACCCTTTCGGATTCGCTGGCGGACTTCCAGACTTCCGTGACGGTGCCGCCGGCCGTGCGCTTGACGGACGTTGATCTGGACGGATATCCAGACATGGCATTTGTCACGCACAAGGGCAAAGATGAGTCGCACGTGCGGATGCTGCGCTCGGAGCTTTGCCCTGACTGCAAGATCTCAGGTGGCGCCCAGCTGGACTACCGGTCGTTTGTGGCAATCAAAGAGGGCGTGTCTGTTTTGGAGACGCTGGGGCGGCCGCAGGATGTGGCCTTCTTTGATATCGACGGCAGCGGCACAGCTGACCTGCTCGTGCACTACCTCGACTCGGCAGGTAGCAGGCGGGTGTCTGCCATCTACAACAACTTTTTCACCGATGCGTTTTTCATCAAGGCGCTGGCATGCCCGACCAACGAGAAGCACGTGCGCTCATACTCCGGCTTCCTGCCCGGCGCAACCTTCAAGTACCTTGTTGTCAGCGATTCTGGGGAAAAGCACGTGGCGCAGTCGGTTCAGGCGCCGCAGTCGGCGTACCGCGCGCTGTTTACACCCTACACTATTATTGGGATTGGGCGGACAAACAACTACATTGAAGACTTTTCTGTCGGATCGTCGAGCCAGCTGGGCGTGCATGAGAGGTCGTTTGAAGGGTTAATTCCCAATTCGCAGGTTATTGTTTTCCCGGTCAACACCACATCCGAGTGGAGACTGGAGCTGTATATGAATAGGTCCGAGTCGACGCCGTATATTTTGGCCACGCTGCTGTCGTCTATGGGCTTGCTGGCCATCACTGTGTTTGCGCTGGGCGCTATGGAGCGCAAGGCCGACCAGCGCGAAAAGCAGCGCGCACTGCATTCCATCAATTTCGATGCGCTGTGAGCAAAAATAACGACTGTTTGATTTCAGTCTGATATTTGCAATATTATAAAATTATTATTGTTTTGCACTTTACAAGAGCACGGCACGACACAGCACGACACATGGCAAATGATTCAAAGGAGAGAATATATGGAGATTATAAAATGGAAAAAAGAGAGAAAACATGTTCGAAAAGAATAAAAAACCATCCCTCTGCTAAGTAGAAGTTCGTCTTTCAGTTCCGTAGTCTATTTTAAAGGCCGTTTCCTTGGTCCTTGATGCGGATCTGAGCGCCACTGGTAAGATTGGAAGCGCGACGAACAAAGCGCGGCATAGGAGGACCACCGGCCTCCGGGCCAGCAGCAGCGGCACCGATGGGATCCCGCAACAGCGGGTTCTGAGCACTCAACGGCTGAGCCTTGCAATCACCGGCCACTGAGTCTTCGACCACAGGGGACAGAGCCGGAGCACCCATGCTGTACTCCTTGGGCGGCGAGAACGCCGTCGGGTGTACCATCGAACACGAGGGGATGACTCCAGAGGCACCACCGGAAACCGGGATGGCTCCGCCGGTCTCTGTGGTGGGCGAACTCGCAAGAGTGCCTGGGTTGATCGGCGTCTGAGAGTGCGGGATGGTGTCAACCGAAGGGTGCTCGTCACCCACTTGTTCGTCTGTCTTTCCGGCCTTGGACATTGCGTAGTCGCCGCTGTCAAAGTACTTGCGCTCCTATTGTCAATGTGAATTTTTTTTGGTATACCGTTAGTTTTTTTGTCATTTGGGAGAGGGTGGATAGGCACTGGTTTGTGTGTGTATGTACTTTGTGCTTACTTTAATCTTTTGCGTCAGAACATTCTTGTTCATCGGCAGCTTGCCGTATTTTTTAAACTGCGTTTGCTCCTCTGGCGTGAGCTTCTACATATACAAAGACGGATAAAAATCAGTTAGTAACAAAAAAATATGACGCGCCCTTATTTCGTACTCAAGCCTGTAATGATAGAAAAGGAAGAAGAAACATACGCTGAGGTCCACTTTCTGCTGTCTTGCCGGAAGCATTGCTGATGTATTTTAAGTTGACAGTGCTGAATCGAATTGCAGTTTGTTGAAATGGATAGATGCGCCCAGTACTCTTCTCGAAAACAAACAAGGTAAAAGCAAGAAAGCCAGTAAAAATAGGGGGTGGTGTGGTTTGAAAGTATATATAAATAAAAAAGTAAAAGTTATAAAAGCGGTCGTGTGCAATTGAACTCTGTAATTCACTTGATAAAAAAAAGAATAAAAACCCAGACTTTTTACATTTTTTTAGTTATGAAAAATAGAGGACAAAAAAAAGTAGTAAAATTGGTTTTTTATTTGGCCGGGATTAGGTGCTGCAAACACTGGCCAAAAAAACATGGTGCTGATCACGCCGCTCAATTTGGGCAAAGTGTTTGTTTCAAATCTTCTCCCCCACTCTGAGTTTTAAAACATCTCGTGATCTCTCAATTGATGACTTCGGCTCGAGCTGCAGTCATGTTTTTTATAACGAGCCATTCTTTTCTACAGTGAAAAATTATTGACCTTTCGGGGTTTTGTTGACATTAAAGACCAATTGACTGGTGTGAACTCGGGCCGCTCTTTGTTCTCGAGTATTTGTTTCTTGTAAAAAAAATTACGGTGAAGGCACATTGTCAAAGTTTCATTTTATTCCTTTTTTATTCCTTTTTTATTTACACATTGCAAGACATTCTCACACTGCAAACGCATCCATTTTTTGCACTATTATTTATTATTTTTCTCATATGGATTATACCCAAACAACAATAGCAACACCACCACTGCCACCGTCGTCGTTGACTCCGGCCATGGACGACCCGCTCTCACAACTAAGCATAGTGCTGTCCTCAGAGCACGACGCTGTCGAGCAAGTATGTAAGCTCTACACAGAGTCCTCCGACATCCGAGGCAGCCTCCGCCTCTTCGACACAGCCTACCTCGATGTTCTCAGTTTCCTGCACGCTCAATCCACAAACAAAGGCTCACATGAGACTAGCAGCATACTGAGTTCACAAAAGGGGCTTTTGCAAAAGCTTTCCGAAATAGCAATGCAGGAAGAGGCGCCGATGACAGTGGAAGCGGAAGCAGCAGCTGCATGGGTGCTCGCAGACTGCGTGGATCAGCTGAGCGACAGTGAAGGAATATGCACACGCCTGGGAAGAATAGTAGGCCAAGTTTTGGCAACCAGGGTTGGGGAAAGCAAGGAGACGGAAGCATTGCGCCAGTTGCTCAGGGCAACGGGGATGCGCGAGGGCCCGTGGCTTGACAGCCTTCTAGCAGTGGTGTGTGGGGCCATAGTTGAGCTGGCGGATAATGCCATTCAAGGGCAGGCGTTGCGAAGCTCCCAGCTGCTCTGCTTGCTAGCCCAGCTGCTCGAAGACTATAGTGCGTATGCCCTTCGGGTCATGTCATCCGTTGATTCGCTGCGGCGAATGGCACGGCACGTTATCAAGCTATTGAGTGATCCGCATCCGGCAGTATCCGCCCCCGCACTACACGTGCTTGCCCGACTCCTTCTCACCCCCGTGGTAAGCGGAAGGCCGGCTGCGCTAAGCATTTTGGGCGACAGTTTGCGTGGAAAGCTCTTTGACGAGGCGCACCTGGCCCGCACTGTCCTACTCGTCTCTGACCTGTGTCAGAACTGCAACGGCAGCGACAAGCAGGAGGACTTTTTGGTGCTGGAAGCTGCCAGTGGGATTATAGCGTGTGTTGCGCAGAGTCAGGGTGCAGCTGATAGACGCAGGTTCTTTGAGATGACGGAGATGGCCAGGGCGCTGGACCACCTTGTGGGGGTGGCGCGCATTGACCGCCGGTACATCCATCCGCTGGTGAGTATAATCAACCATGTTGTCAGGGAGGGCGGGTCGTCGCCACTGGTTGTGGCGATGTGCACGGACAGGAGCGATGATTTCGCGGGGTCAATTGTCGCTGAGGTGTTTGATATTGTGGGGTCAGGCATCGAGGACATCCCGTACACGCAGCCGCACTTTGGCTTGGCAGAATCAGCGGGAGGACAACAGAAAACATGGCCCAGGGTATCCAGCGACGAGAGCGGCGGCGGATGGCTCGTGCAAAGCACTGTGAGGCAGAGGCAGGGTGTAATTGAGTTTCTTGCGAATGCACTGCGCTTGAGTTGTGAGGCGCAAGGGAGCGGAAGCGGCAACGTGAGGGAGCTCATGCAGGCCATAGCGCAGGTATTGGAATCCAGATCGATTGGCTTCCGGCGCACTCAGGGCGAAGAGGATGTGGCGACAATCAAGAATCTGCTGGGCATGCACTACTGGACTGTAAGGCCGGTGCTGGAATTGGCCATAGAGCTGGCCCGAGTGTCGCCCCAGTTTGAGGCATTCTGGGTGCCGTGGCTGAACGAGGCGGATGCTGGCAAGTGGGCTGCCGAGGTGTGTCGCACTGTGACAGAGTGCCCACAGGAGATACTCAGCCAGGCAATCCACCGGGATATTATGAATGCCTCTGTATCTGACGATATATCTGTGGCAGCAAACAGCAAGCTTAGCATTCCTGCAGCCGTCGTTGTGCCTAATGTTGCCACGCCTGCTGCGTCTACCCACTCGTCGTCGGGTACTGCCTCTCCGCAGCCGCCTGCGACGACGTTGGTGCCCATGGTCATTGGCATTGATGCCATGCGTGCAGCTAATCTTCCAGAGCCAGTTGCTGATGTGGACGAATTTCCGGACAACACCGCCGATGTTCTTCAGAGCGTTGTGCTAAAGCAGTGGCTGCGCATTAGCGAAGCCGAGATTGCCGCCAGAGTGGTCTCTCTCGATCCCATGGCACCTAATGTTTACAGCGTTGTTGACCAGGCGCGTCGCAGCCTTTTGGGTGGATTGGATGCTCTGCAACTTGGAATCGCGGCGACACAGGCTCTGCGCCACAGACATGCCGTAGCCGCCCACCAGCTGCAGTCTGATTACACGGCCCTGCTTTTGAGCGAGCAAGAGGCCCGCGAAGAGACCGAAGAAGAAATAACCGAGTTGCAGCAAAAAATGGCATCAGCCAGCTATCTCCAGGAGCAAGCAAAGCAGGAACTCATGGAGCTGTCTGCTCGGCTGCAAAATACTGAGTCAGATGCATCTGAGTGGAAGCGCGAGTGTGTTGAGACTCGAGGGCTGCTTGAGACGGCCGAGGAAAAGGCAAGGGAGGTTGCGGCGCTGAGGGAAAACGTCGGCGGTTTGGAGCGCGCGCTAGGGGATGCTGTGGCCCGCTTACACATTTTGGAGATGCAAGCTTTGGCTGAGCGTGCTGTGGGTGAGGAGCTGCGCGGGAAGAACGCGGCTATGGCTGCGCATTTGGCCGAGTACGTGAAAGTCACCGAGTCGATGAACAATCTGTCTCGCCTGCAGCACAATTAAATTTTATTTATTCAAATAATATATACACATATGCGACCTGGGTGTTTGATGTGCGAGAATAATAGCTGCAACTGTTTGCAAAAGATATGCGGACCGTTACCAACCAATCTGAAATTATACGTTGGTTGCATCAATCAAATGGGATTTCCATATACAAATCAGCAATTCCGATTAAAAGTCCGCATTTAAGTATTTACGTAGGTCGTGCGGAAAAATAATCACTGCGCTTTGTGATATATATAAAGGATTACAAATACAAATGTTTGATTTTGTTCTATTATGCTCTGCTCAATACCAATTTTCGACATTACTAATGCATGTTGTTGTCCCCCGAATGTGCGCAAGCAGATCTTGGCATGTATAGGGGGGATGAGCGAAGGGAGCGCGTGGCAAAATGGCATTAATGTAAATTTATGAATTTTGGTATAAATACTCCATTACTTCTCACCATATCTTCTCGCTTTTTTTTCTCATCACAACTTTGTCCAATCAATATCATCCATACAAAAAACAACTAGCCTCCCACTTGAACTTACACTTGAACCTACACATACACTCAAAATGGCTCCTCTCGGCACTCTCATCGGCCCCATGCCTAACCCTCGCAACTTCAAGGCCCGCATTGTTGCTGCCATTACCGGGCTTGAGCTTGACACCACCCCCGATTTCCAGATGGGCGTTGACAACAAGACTCCCGAGTACTTGGCCAAGTACCCCGCCGGCAAGGTTCCTGTTTTCGAGGGCGCTGACGGCTTCAGTGTGAGTGACTCAAGCGCTATTGCCTACTACATTGCTGCAAAGGCTGGCAGTGAGTCTACTCTGCTTGGCCAGACCGCCGAGGAGACTGCTGAGATTCTCCAGTTTATCCTCTTTGCAGAGGCTGATTTTGTGCCCGCCCTCATAGGTACATTGGCACCCCTAATGGGACATGCCAAGTTTTTCAAGCCCGCTCACCAGCAGGTTGAAGAGCAGTTTTTCCGCTTTATTGATGTCCTAAACACCCAGCTCACCAACCGCACTTTCGTTGTTGGCGAGCGCCTGACCATTGCCGATGTCGTTGTTGCCTGCGACTTGCTCTATCCATTCCAGCTGTATTTGACCAGCGAGGACCGCGATAAGTACCCCGACCTCACCCGCTACTTTACGACCATAACTGCCGAGCCCGCCTTCAAAGCTGTGCTTGGCGATGTTGTTCTGTGCGACAAACGTATTGAGCTCGCCGCTCAATAATCAGAAGGCTGCGATGGTCTGCAACGGGCAGAATACATTTTAGATAACACCATTAGTTTTAATTGTTTACCATTTTTTTAATTTCTTAGGAATGAATCATTGGGTGGACATTTTTCAAATTCTCATTGATCCCACGCTGGTAATATAATCAATTTCATCATCACCAAAGCTGTTTTGTTGTCTATCAATTGTCTATTTATTCGAGATTTATGCCCTGAAAACAATTTGAGCAGTCATCGGAAACGAAATCATATTAAACTTTTTGAGCAACCATTGGTTTTCTTGCTTGGGATATTTGCCATTGTTGCTGGCCTGCTCCCCACTATGTGTCTTGCTGACGCCTAGCCATATCATATTGAGCATTTGATGTGTGTTTTTAGAAAATGTAAATATCTTTGGGGGAGAGGAACTACAAAAACA